TAGTAAGGCACTTGTTACTAGTAGTAAGGCACTTGTTACTAGTAGCTGTCTTCACTCCAAGAGACTGCTTAATAAATTCTTACTATTACTAGTAGTAAGGCAGTTGTTACTAGTAGTAAGGCACTTACTAGTAACAAGTGCCTTACTACTAGTAGCGATGCACTTGTTACTGGTAGCTGTCTTCACTCCAAGAGACTGCTTAATATATTCTTATTATTACTAGTAGTAAGGCAGTTGTTACTAGTAGTAAGGCACTTGTTACTAGTAGTAAGGCACTTGTTACTAGTAGCGATGCACTTGTTACTAGTAGCTGTCTTCACTCCAAGAGACTGCTTAATAAATTCTTATTGTTACTAGTAGTAAGGCAGTTGTTACTAGTAGTAAGGCACTTGTTACTAGTAGTAAGGCACTTGTTACTAGTAGCGATGCACTTGTTACTAGTAGCTGTCTTCACTCCAAGAGACTACTTAATAAATTCTTACTATTACTAGTAGTAAGGCACTTGTTACTACTAGTAGTAAGGCACTTGTTACTAGTAGTAAGCAACTTGCTACTAGTAGCGATGCACTTGTTACTAGTAGCTGTCTTCACTCCAAGAGACTGCTTAATAAATTCTTACTATTGCTAGTAGTAAGGCACTTGTTACTAGTAGTAAGGCACTTGTTACTAGTAGTAAGGCACTTACTAGTAACAAGTGCCTTACTACTAGTAGCGATGCACTTGTTACTAGTAGCTGTCTTCACTCCAAGAGACTGCTTAATAAATTCTTATTATTACTAGTAGTAAGGCACTTGTTACTAGTAGTAAGGCACTTGTTACTAGTAGCGTGGCACTTGTTTCTAGTAGCGATGCACTTGTTACTAGTAGCTGTCTTCACCCCAAGAGACTGCTTAATAAATTCTTATTATTACTAGTAGTGAGGCAGTTGTTACTAGTAGAAAGGCACTTGTTACTAGTAGCGTGGCACTTGTTACTAGTAGCGATGCACTTGTTACTAGAAGCTGTCTTCACTCCAAGAGACTGCTTAATAAATTCTTACTATTACTAGTAGTAAAGCACTTGTTACTAGTAGCGATGCACTTGTTACTAGTAGCTGTCTTCACTCCAAGAGACTGCTTAATAAATTATTATTATTACTAGTAGTAAGGCACTTGTTACTAGTAGTAAGGCACTTGTTACTAGTAGCGATGCACTTGTTAGTAGTAGCTGTCTTCACTCCAAGAGACTGCTTAATAAATTCCTATTATTACTAGTAGTAAGGCACTTGTTCCTAGTAGTAAGGCACTTGTTACTAGTAGCGATGCACTTGTTACTAGTAGCTGTCTTCACTCCAAGAGACTGCTTGAAGATCCGGTTCCAATTTGGACGCCCAAAGAATTGTCCCGAGGCACAGGACAGCTTCTTCACCTGGAGTTCAAGAAGGGAGACCCGGCTCTTACGAGCTGGCGTTTAGGCAAAAAAGATATATATATATATAACTCCTGGTGTGTGTGTGTGTGTTGATCTTGTTAAAAAGGCCCAACTTCAACAAGAACCCCAAAAAAAACACCGGACCTGGTCCGTTTTTTTCGATCTTCCTGAGTTGGGCGATGGGTGAACAAACCAGGCAAGAATGCGCCTGTCAGATGTAGGGTTCTAGAACTGAGTAAATGAGAGTGCACTGCCCTTGCAAGCCAAAAGAGCAGTAGAGGAGTTGTGCCAACAGTTCTCTCCAGCAGGATTCTCCCACCCATATTTCACAAGGCGCCTGGGATAACTCATGCTCACCAGTCAAGAACAAAGTGATCTCAACGATGCCTGGCATCTCGGCAGGTCAAACATTCCATGAAAGACTCCCTAGGACCTAGGAGTCTTGCCCGCCTGACAACTGGACACATCCAAAGATGAAAAGAATAAACATCTGAAAAGGAAAAGAACACATTTGGTCCCCCTTGTCTTGAGACACAAAAAAACAAGAGTCTTGGGAGCAAGACGCCACAAAATGCTGGAGGAATCCCGAGCCTGCAGCTGGCCCTCTGCAGCAGCAGACAGCAAGTGGGAAAACCAGTCGAATTCTTCCTGACCGCGTCATGTCTTTACTACTCCGATCTGCACCACTGCCTAGCCAATAACTTTCAATTAGAACGAGAAGAGAGCTTTGACTCTCCTGACCACGGCAGATCCAATAGAAATAGATCCTCAACAATCGGCGCGAAGCTGTCTCTTGCGAAAGCTAAGGAGACCGTCAGCACAAGCTCTCAATTAGATACTGATCGGACTTTAAAAAACAAAAGACAGATGCGAATCTTGATTGATGGTGTCGATTTTCAGGACTCAGCTCATCTTAGCATCACCTGGTCGAAAAACACCCAGCAGATCGTCACCAGAAGACTGATTGTCACACATGATCACATGATCTGCCCTGAAGAGGGGTGAGTGGTCACACTGAGAAACGGATGGTCACTGCCCCTTCTTCAGCAGATTTCTCCCAGCTCTTTGAACATGCAGACCAGAAGCTTTTTTGGAACCTGGATGAGGTCATTGACCATCTTCTCCAGTGATGCATCTGACAATGTGAATGAAGGATTCTGTCCCACTGACAGTTGGGAGAACGGAAGAGCACTAGTCCTGACATGTCCTGACTAAACTAGATTAGATCTGGTTCTCGAGGATGCTAGATACTCTGTCCCTAGATCGGGTCGCTGACGTTTCAGCACGTCTCCATCATTTGGGCCCCTTTCATGGTAGACCACGTCATCTAATGACTGTTTGGATTAGTGTGACTACAGCAAAATCACGGCGACGTAACGCAACCGGCGAAAAAACGTGCCTTAGCCCCCCGAAAACCACGACGCTATGGCCTGACCCCTTGCGACGCAGGATGCTTTCTCTCTGCTTGGCACGGAGTTGTACCGACCGAAGGATGGAGGCGAAGGGCGTCACCTCGGTTCTCTCGCTATGTCAAGGCGTCCGATCACTCCGTTCGGTTTGCGATGCCAGGAGCCCCTAGTAGCGTCCTTGTTCCTAGTGGCCTCAAGAAACCCATCAAGGCATGTCAAGGCTAGTCTGCTGAGCCTTGGACTAAGCACTAGTCTGGCCGTCTGCACTCGTCACTCGTCTCCTTCGGTTCGTCTTTTGGAGACGATCTAGCCGTCCTTCTAGCCAAGCGACACCGATTCCTGCACCGACCACCATGAGCGTGTCAAAGCCCCAAACCTTTTGCGCTGGAGCACCGAAAGGTCCAGTCACCTGTAGAACCACAGCCTGGTTCCGCAGACGGGCTTTGGACACGAAACATGCGACACGTTCCAAGATGTGCATCTTGGGGAGTCATGTTTCAAGGAAATCAACAAGTCACATCTGCTTGTCGTGCCTTCCCCATCCGTTCTTTTTGGGAAGAAAAAGAAAGCCCAGCGCCTCGGGCGGGAGCATGGTCATCGCTGTGGTACCTCGATGCGATCGGTCGTCCCAACGTGTTGGGATGACTTGGGTGATGATCTATCATACAAAGGTCCCCAAGCAGGCGCAGGCAAAAGCTGAAGCAACTGCCAAAGACAAATCTTTTTGATAGCCCACTATAGGAGTGGATGAGTAGATAGATAGGACTTGGGTCTATCCTATTGCCAGTAGCAGTGGATGATGATGAGGCCTGGGCAACCTGGTTGGCCGACATCTCTAAAAGGAGAATTGTTGACTGTTACCGGTAACAGGACAGACCCAATACATAGATATGGAGACCTCCCAGAAAAATGAAACAAAACCAATTGATAGGGATTGGGGGTCTCCACTTGGCTGTTGGGTGGGTCTCCACGAAAGCAAAAGTCGAAATTGTCTTGCATGGCTTGAGTTGCAAAGTGACTCAAAGGATAGCACAATGTCCTCGCTAGCTTTGGGAAGCTCTCTCCCTCTTTCTCTCCCTCCCTCTCCCTGCCCCTCCCTCCCTGCCCCCCTCCCAACCTGCGGAATTCAAAGAAAAGCAACACATGATACGTCCTTGCTTTTCCGAAAGGGATCAAACGATGTCCCATGTGCAAAAGCAAGGCACTTGTCAAGCTTTCTCCGGACTTGGAGGCAGGGGTGTCCCCAAATCCTGACGGCAAATGCACAGAAACCGTGTGCTTTCAAGCCAGACCAACTGCATCACGGTCTTTGAGACTGCTTGAAACGTGTCTCTCAATGCAGTTCCGAAAGAATGGATGCAAAGTTTTTCCTTCGATACCTTTGCAGGGTCCTATCTTCCTCAGCGACAACACCAACCAATGCGATCCTTTTACTTCAAAACCTACCTCGGCTGATTGATCCCTCAACTTGCTGGAAAAAAATGAACCCCAATGGCCCCAATGGTTGTTCCAAAAGATCATTGAATCATTTGTCTGTACTACTGCCGATCAAACTTGTTCATCCATCTCTTTTCCCTTCTCCCCCGCTAGCGCTTGCTTCATTTAAGCCCTTCCAACACGAGACAACACAAAAAAGGACTCTCACCTGTCGCAACGCGCGTAACACGGAACGTGTCCCGTCACCAAACACAACGAGTGCCTTCTCTCAGTTTTGGCTTGCTCTCACTCGCGCCATGCGGCAGCGTTGGTGGAGAGACCTGGCCTGGCAACTCTGGCACCTCGGAGCTTGAAACCGGTGTTGTACCAGACTCTCTGCGCGCTCTCTCTCTCTCTCTCTACATACGTACTATAGACCATAGATACATATAGACACATATAGACACATAGATGGTATTCCATGTTGTCCCATGTTATCCCCCTGGTACAAAGATGTACCAAGAGCTTTTGTATACAAAGACCAGCCAGTCCCCTTGTCCGAACCCAATACCAGCCCTCGTCCGTCACCGAGGTTGCCGACCGGAACGGCGCTGGCTTTTCCATCATCATTGCTGCGGCCACCTGGGAGGAAGACCTCCCTGGGCACGTTGAACACCACATGACCTGGGCACGAACAAAAGGTCCCAGTGACCTGCACTGGCCGCAGAATCGCAATAAAAATAGGCTGCCAAGAGGCTATTAGCCAACGTTCTCTTCACATAATCAAACTGTTGAGGTGCCTGCGCTCTGCGTCGCTTTGAAGAAGAAGTGCCACTTGGCAAGCAAAGACCGTGTCAATACATGTCAATCGTTGAGTGGCTCGAAAAGGTCAACCGGGGGATAGGATCTTCACAGTGGGCCCAGAATGGTATGCCGCCTGTGTTGTCGCAAGAAATGACAAACACACAAACACAGAGACACACAAACACACAGACACACAAACACACACTGGTCACATGTCAGAACATCAGCAATTCTTGAGGACTCCTTCCCCCTCCCGCGCCTTTGGCGCTTTTTGTGGACTTTCGCCCACCGCCTGCGCTGGAGCCTCTTCCGTTAAGCGCTTCCGAAGCGCCGAACACCTGAGCGCTCGTCCATCGGCCGATCGGTCCATCGATGTCCATCGTGCCGATGAGCGTCGATGAACTTCAGGGACGGAAGACAGTCCAAAGACAGGTCAACACCCCCCATAGTCTATTGGGGGGCGCGATCTAAAGCAAGTCCATACAGTTCCCTTGTTTTTCTTGTTCAGCTCTCTTCACAGCTGCTTGGTCACCGCCTGATGCCCACCAATGATCTCGAGTCCAAGGTGCCAGTCAAGGCTATTGGGAGATCGGATGTGCACATGGACGCAATCCTCCTTCGATTCTATGGGCAAGGATCAAGAAACTGTTGGAGACTGCTGCGTTGCCTTCTCCAACATCTCCAACTGCATTAAGATGCTTCAAAGCTGCTGACTCTGCAGACTCTACAGCACACCCACTGGAAATATCAGCAGCTCTTTGGACGGTCTCAAAAACCAGAAGGTCTGATTCATAAAGTAACTATATAGAAAGATTACTGAATTAGTTTTGAATCATCCCAAGCCAAGCTCAAGCTTGCTCCTCTGGAGCTGATGTCAATGTGAAGGGATGCCATTCACCCTTCCAGCCGAGCAAAATGTACTGCCCTGCCTGCAAAGATGCAAAGTTGGTTGACAATCTGGCACAACTCCACACGAACAGGGCATCTTTCTTGGTCCAAAAGAAACATGACGATCTCAGCCATCCACTCAGCCATCCCTATGGTGCACCTGATAGGCAAAGCCCTGGGGTATGTCAAAGGTCAAGTTGATCACATCTCCTTAGACCGGATCCGGCAGGTAGAACGAGCAGTTGTTCCCCCGCATCTTGCAGCTCGCTAGAACCAACAAAGGTCTGGAAAGCACACCTAAGGTCCGTTCTGGGCAGCCCGAACCGCCCCGTCTCATCATGTCAAGGTGCTGGGCAGAAGCTTCACATACCTCAATGATACATACATCTCTTGGTGAGTTTGAAGCAGCAAACGATCCATGAAAACGAAGATGGCCGGGAAGAAGAACCTCAGCTACCCGCAAGTGGTCATACAACGCGGGCAAAATGATTGGCTGCAAGTGCAATTGTTGAACTGCAAAATGGTTTCAAAAAACCCTTCACCCACTACAAGAATGGCATGTTTCTTCTTCATCCCAATACAAGATCTAGAAACGAAAAGAGGGGCGTCTCCTTTCCAAACAAAGGCCTCTTCTTCGAAACACTTCTTCACAGCAGAACAGCCAGGCGGCCAAATCCAAAGCCTGGCTGGTGCATGAATCAGCAGCAGAACATAGATCAACTTCCAAGACATGTGCACGCGCCAGAACCTCGGCGGGAGAGCGAAGAGCGCAGAGCGGAGGCCACGAAGACGGAGAGGTGTCTTTTATTTCTTCGACAGGTTGGTTGACAAGCACACATGCTCTGGCCAGAGAAACTGTTGGCCCTTTTCTTGACCCACTTAGAAAATTGGAAGTGCAATTCGATATCTGCAGATGTCTGGTTCATCGTTTCTGGAGGCATTCCTGACACCCGGACCAAAGTGGCATCAGCAATCCAAGCTAGACATAGAGGTTGTCATGTCAAAGGCTGAGCCCAACATTCGATACAGGGTTTGTTCTTGGTTTCGTCCAAAGCTCAAGGTCTCCTACCCTGATCAAGCAAAAGGGATCGCACAAAAGTCCTTGTGAGAGATGACGGATGACCCTCCTTTCTAAGGATGCAACCCCAGTTTTGACTATTGCACCCTTTCTGTCGGCGCTTTTGAGACCTCATTCTGTACCCATCCAGGTAGCAAATTAAAGCCGCCCAGCCGACGCGTGAGAGCGTTAGTCCCACGGCGAACACATGACATCGCCTCGGAGGCGGGGGGTGATCAAGAGCACTGACAAGTTTTGGGGCGCAAACATGTACAGCAGAATGACCCAAGAATACAGCTCTACCAGTTGATGTGAAGCTCTATCAGTTGATGGCCAATCTAACCCATCTCCCCGCTCAAATCGTTGTCGTCATCGTCTGAGTCTTAACAGACTCAGCGCCAAAACAGCCACAAGAACGTTGCACCCCTGCAACTTGATGTCACATCATCCATCAGGGTGAATCAGGGTGGTCCTCTGACCCGTCCATTGGGATAAATACACAGATCATCACAGCAAAAATCACAGTTCTATAAGTTCAAACAGGTTCTATCTTGGCTCTGCCAGTTCAGTGGGATCATCTTGACACATCCATCGGCCGAGAGGCTGTCAGTAGGATTGCCAACATCATCACTGTGAGAATGACGCCAGTGAGCGCAGCGCAGCGATTTTGGAGGTTGATCAACTGACCGTGCGCACGGCAGGTTGTGCACTGAGTGACATGAGTGTCGAAGACGCTTTTTCTGTCATAAGATTGATCATCCTTGGAGGCCAAAAACATCCTTCAACTGCACCCTGCCGCCGCCTGCCGCTTGCTCCCAAAAAGTAAATCTGTTTCCAACACCCGTCGTCTCGGTCGCTAGCTGGTAGCTGCCTGGAGCCAGAAAGACATACCGCTGGTCATCTCCTCACCCGTCATCTGCCAGAGCTGTAAGGGATCCCTCTGAATCCGTGGTGCCGCTTGGATCCCATAGATGTGGACCTCATCGTCAGTGAGGCAGTCGAGCCCGTGAGATACCGTGAGTCCGTCCGATGGCCGAGGGCAGAAATCCTGCGGCCCCATGACCACCCCGTGCTCCGGTCGTCCGTCCGTCCGGTCCGCTAGGCTCCCGGTCGCTGTGCGCGATGATGTGGATCAAGGCTCCAAGAAAGGTGAAGCCGGCAATGACCATGTGAAAGTTGATCGGATCCTTAAAGTGCATTGGAAGTTTATGAACACCCATGTCCAACATCTAACACCCTAGTTTTACCCCATTTAATACCTATTTGACACCATTGATCTTCATACTATTTGACACCATTGATCTTCACCCACGTGAGTCACTGGGGGTTGCCGTCGGAGGTTGATCTTCTGGTCACTTAGGTGCTTTTGGGGTCGACGGTTCATCAAGTCAAAGACCTACAATGATTCAAGTAGGGAAGCAGCTGCTTCCTCTTCCTGCTTCCTCTGGGCCTTTCGCCTTTCCTCCTCCCAGTATGTCTCCTCCTCCGACTCCTCCGATCCACCCACTCTCTGGGGGTCCGTCCTTTTGCGGGGCCGAATGAAGAGAGTACCACAGTCACCACCCCTACGGTACATCCATCCATTCCTGTGAGAAGCAGGGAAGGGAACGGACACAGAAACAACCCATGGCAGTGCTTAAACCGCCAAGGTGCGTCAGTTGGAATCCACTCCCGAGATGAGCTGGCACGCCTTGAAGCGCGCCATGAGAAAGGGGGGATATGAAGGAAAGTGCATCCTACACTGTACATGCCATTGGGCCATAGGATGCCATAGGTCGTATTATCTCTGGTGGAACCCCACAAAACTAAACAGATGTTTGTAATCACCGCAGCAATATGCACGGAACTCATGAAACCTGATGGCTGCTTGGATGACTTAGTGGAGAATCAGGAACAATCTGACAAGGGCACAGGACTGAATCCCAGCTCTTATCAATGAAAAGGTTCGAACATCTATCTGGCGAGCATTACTCTAATGTTCTACCCAGTAGTGAACATGTTCTTGCAACGCACGCAGACTCTGTCTGTCTTGGGCATAAAGTTGGCCTGGACTTGCCTCTTGTGAACTTATGACCTTGTTTCAGCTAGAAATCAGTCTATCTCAGCTAGAAGATGCTCTATGCTCTCCCGCACGAGATGTCTTTCCCAGCCTGGTAGCTGTTTGTAAGCTCTTAAGTGTTGGTAGCACGAGCATCGCAAAGTTCAAGTCCATGCTATAGCCTCCACCCTGTACAGACCCGCTGAAATGCATGCTTTCATGCGCTCACAGGATGTCACATATCAAAATTGCGTTTCTGGATTCTTTTCTGACCAAAATCTGATACCACCTATATATCTTCATATATCTTCCCTGTGCCTTTCACTGCATCACCGCGGGTTTGCCTTGGCAAATGGGTAGGCCCAGGAGCCCTGGAAGCCACCATTGAGATTCGACAGGAAGCCGATCAGGAAAACCACCAGGTTCAGCATCCCGTACCTGACGTTTTCTGGAACCTGACAAGGGTTCCAGAAGCGGCACCACGGCAGCAATGGCGCCAAGGCAGAGCAAAGACGTGAGACAACGAAAAGCACACGACACTTAGACTTAGAGAACAGTGTGAAACATCGCTGAAAATCAATGGCGGCCAGACGGTGCTTTAGCACGTCTGGTGCAAGACCGAGACCACATCGGGTCACATGACCGTGGTGAGTCGCTGTTCTCCGAGACCACATCGGCGGCAAGTGCGGTTGAAGCTTTGAAACCAGGTCACTTTCTCCTTAAGCAGAGGAAAGAGCAAACCCCAATGTAGGTAAATATGATTAAATATGCCATACATTGCCATACATGGAGTGTTTGGGATTGGTTTCCTTACTTCAACGTAAATGAAACATCATTCATAAAGGAACACGTTCAAAAGCAAGTCCGAAATGTTCTCGGTCAATCCCAAGGGATTTCAGAACTCATGGGGCCATCCCATTCTGGGGATGTTCCGAAGTAGGTCGAGGTGGAACATGGGTCCCTGAACCACCTCGGACCCCTCCGACAAGAGCCCCATCGTGGGAGCAAGTGGACTGCATCACCAGGGTGGATGAATTTGAAGCACTAGACTCACAGATGACGGTTCTCTGAATCAGTTTTAACATTGCATTGGGTAAATATGTAACAGTGAGTGACCAAGTCACTGATATCCCCAAGACACTCCCCAAGACTCATCAGCCAAGACTCATCAGGCGGCATGGCCAAATCAGTGGCCTCACACGTATCCCAAAACTTGTCGGAAGCACTCATGTACACGGCTACAATTAAAAGAACTGGTGGTAAAACGTGGCCAGGGTTGCTTTTGAGGCCAGAGCCTATCCACCTCTAATCAATCCTGAATCAATCCTCTTGTTGCCTCCTGACTTGCACGAGCCTGATCACCAGTGCCCTCTTCATCCTGCATGTAGGCACCAGCTGCACCCGTTTTTTTTGCCCAGGCTTTCCTGCAAACTGTGAATACTCCAGGAGTGAAGTCGCGTTGCTCTGTCTGGCGATCTTCCGTTTCCCGCACGAACATCGGCAACACGCTTCTTGCCTGACCAACCCATGTGCTTGCATTTGACCCAAATGGGCTCTTGCGATTGTAGACCAAAAACGGTTTCTGCCGACAAGTTCTCAAAGAAATACCCGCGGCTGGCATCTCCTCTGCTGGGACTTGATCTGCCGGCGTTGCTCGACAAGCTCCAGCATCCTCTCCTGCGTCGGAACGAAACTGAACACCGATGAAGCATTTCAATGCGATCCAACCCCCATGGAAAAGCTCAGTCATGCGAAAAAGGATCCAAGTGATTACAAAACAAGAAAAGGGAAATTCAACAGGTATGTCTCAAAAATGAAGATCCGCCACGCCAATTCCCATGTTCTCCTTCCCAGCACCGTACACTTGAGCCAATTTTTGTCAGTAAACATTCCTCATCTCCGAACTGCTCATCACTCCTCTTTCAGCACCCATCGCAAGATGCGAGGCCGGTAGCGGCTGGAGAACAGCCAACTGCCCGGATGCCTCGCAAAAAGAAGTCCCAAGCGGCGGGACTGGCGGCCCAATGAAGCACCAGCCCTGGTTTGGTCGTTTGAAAACCTGTGGACCTCATCTGACCTCTACAAGGCAAGGCCGCAGGTTTTGTCTCAGCAAGGCCGCATGCAGTTTCATGCCACATCCTTGCCTGTAGGCCCAGAGTGCCGCCAGAAGGTAGAGAAGGATAAGGACGCCAACGCCAACACCTCAACCGCCGTGCGCGAACGCCGCCGTGCAGCAAGGTCGTCTGCTACTGCACCAGAAACACCTTCACTTGCTACTGCACCAGACCAAAGAGTGTGTGATTTGTCCAGTCTCCGCAGTTGGATCAAGAGGCCTATGCCAAGGATGAGATTTTCGTAGTTTTCCAGCTGAATTCCCGTGACCACAATCACAGCCTTGTGAGATCTGTTGCTGAAGTCCTTGGATAGGTGCACACTAGCACTCAATATACCTGTGCAGCGGCATTTATTGGGACTAAGTTAGACTAACCTCAAACACACTATGTATTCTGTGGGGGCCCTGTCTCGTTTAGACTACTTAAGTAGGAGGTCATGTCACAGTATCTCGTTCAGACTACTTTAGTAGCAAATCACACTATCTCGTTCAGACATGTTCAGACTACTTTAGTGTCATGAAGCAAAAACATCTCGTTTATGTGGGGGCCCTATCTCGTTCACAAGCGAATACTGATGATAAACTGATAAACAAGCAAATAGAGCATGTCGTAGACTACTTTAGTAAAGCCTAAACAAAAGTGGTTGCTCACCTAGAAAACAAAGAGCCACTGTTCACTTGGCAGTGCCTCAAACAAAAAACATCGCTAGCTCGTTGAGCTTCATTCTGATTCCTGTTCGTCCAAGTTCCTGTCACCAGCAGGGGCAAGGCCAAATATTGCTTTTGAGGGGTCCCTTGCCCTTCGCCAAGGAGCATTGTTGCGAGTGCTGGCCACGTAGTGTTTACCCACTTGCTTCATTTCAACCAGGCCGCCGTCAAAGTATGCCGAAGCTCCGTTGAGCTGCTTGCAATTGGTCCTGGGTCCACTGGGTGAGAAGGCAGTAGATTCATTCATGATCAGTGAATTGTATACTGTAGCTGTGGATGTGAATGCCATCTTGGCAGTGTCTGCCAGACCAATCGAAAAAGAAATCTGAAGCGGCACGCACACTAAGTGCATTTCAAGACTCTCGGACTGCTGGTCATTGGTTGCGGGATCACATGTCACAATGCTCTCCTGGTCCAGGTAGGCAAACTTTCTCACCAAGTTCTTTCCCTCCTGACCGAGGTCGGAGGCGCTCGGACCAAGGTCATGCGAAGTCGGACCGGTCCGACAACTGAAGAGGTCGACCTCCAAAAGGACCCACCCGGCAACACGAATTCCCGCCTGATCGAATTGGAGGGGAAACATGTGCATTCCAAATTCTTGCAATTTATTTCGGCAAGCATCGGTGTGCTGTCGTTATTGGAATTTGTACCAGGAAGACATTGTACTGAGAGGTCTTTGAATGCTTCTCTTGTAATACTGATTGCACCAAACTCCAGCAATCTCCTTTGAAGCTCATTGCTGCCGTACACAAAACACGCAAAAGGCCGGACCGCACTAAAAACCATTCCATTCCGTCAACATGTTGTTTTCGGCGCCCAGTTTGGCCAACAAAGATTACGTGCGTACACATCCGATGCATTGAGCCCCAAGACGTATGGCATACGTCACGGTCATGCCAAGAAAACGGTCATCGTCTCAATTTGCTCCTCATCATTGGGATTCGCAAGTGCATTGAACAGCAGGGTATGCCTGGGAAAGTCAAATCATGACCCAATCTGAATGCTACTCCTCGTGGTCTCGGTCCACTCGTTTCCATCCTTTACAGGGGAAGAAGAATGCCTTAAAGCATCGGCTGAACAGCGGACGTCTCCATGTCTGTCGGCCTAGCTTAAGTGGCCTAGCTTGCCTCCCGCCAAGTGACTTGTCCATGGGCAGCGGCACAGTCTCATCTTGGCTTTGCAGTTGAACCAGGTTCGAACGGTCAGTGCCCGTGCGCCCATTGCCTGAGAGTGAGTGAGTGAGTGAGGGAGTGAGTGAGTGAGTGAGTGAGCGAGTGAGTGAGTGAGTGAGAGAGAGGGAGGGAGAGTATAGCATGAGTGCGATGAATGCCTTTGAACATTCATGTTCGCTCGATGACAAGAACCAGGGAAACACTTCGAGTGTGGATGCGCTTCAAACACAGGAACGCGCACCTTTTCGCGACTTGAAAGGAACACCCTCAGCCATAAGGGCAAAGGCCTCTTTTGACAGGAAAAACGACACAGTGGAATCATTCCACTGGCACGAATTGTTCCAAGTGCAGAGTCGTGGTTAGCGACTGCAACTCCCCCCTTTTTGAGTGCTGATTAGCACCTTGAGCTGGTGTCCTTCGATAAAATGGACGGTGAGAAAGAAGCAATTCCTCCTTCAAAAAAGGGAGAACACACCTGGGGGGGGCTGTCTGCACCGTCTGCACCTCAAAGACCATTGAGCTGGAGGCTCCCATCTATTTCACCCATGACCCGGTACCGGACACCCCCACCACCCACGGCCTGCATTTCCATTGGCATTGGCATCTGAGCCAGTCCATTGGAAGTGGAGCAAAGTGCCTTGCTCCACCACCAAGTTGGAAGGTACAAAGTCATACTCCACAGATGGATACACCTGGACGATGTTCCCACGCCGACCGCCTCAGACACGACGAGACCCACAAGCGACGAGTGTTCAACTCGTTCGGCTCGAAAGCACGGGGCCATTTTGGTGGAAGAATAGAAACCTGCGATGCATCCGAGGGAACAAAAGCATCATCATTTATTTGTTCATCATCAACTTGTCATCAACTCCAATAATTACACGAATTTATGAAGGAAAAAATACCCTGAGCTTTAGAAAATGAGAAACGAAAAACATGTGCGGAGAACTGTTCACCTTGGGTGTTGACGACACTCTTGGAGGTCCGGATTTGAGGCAGTCACGCACATTGTAGTTGATGATCTTCTTGTCTCCTGGTACATTCTGAGGTCTCTCCATGACCTCAACTTGGCTCAGAAACTGATGAAATGCCCTGGTGAAGAACAGATTTCAAGCAAACTTCTGCCCAATCCCTAACCAATTCACTCAACACACTCAACCATTCGAAGCACTCGCTCCGAGCTCGCTTCTTCCGCGCTCGCTTCTTCCGAGCTCCGCACCATGAAGCTGTGGGTTCGATCCTCGAAGGTGCGGCCGAACTGGTTGGTGTTCACTTGAAGCTGAAGCAAACCTCGGCCGCGGGCCCCGGCCGTGTCCCGCAGAGCCCTGACAGTGTCATTGGAATGAACAAACCATGAGAAGATCCATCACCTCACAGAGGTGACGGGATGGGCCACCAAGGTCCAAGGGTGGCTTTTGGAGGTTTAAATGAGGATTTAGATGAGGTGTCAAGTCTATCCGAAACCATGTGGATACGTGGGATCGAAGGGACGAAACTGATCCGAAGGTGGGAACCTCGCAGTTCTTGTTTCTCCGGGTCCCTCCCACGGCTCCCTCAAGACGCGATAAACCGGTCAAGAGGGACAAAAGATCTGCCAAGTTGACAACCTCTAATTGGTCCAGTACACCTCTAATTGGTCCTTCAAAATGGATCAAAATGGGTTCTTCCAGTGTGTTCCCATTTCCATCCATTTCCCCGCTAGACGGACCCATGGGATTGTAAACCGCTTGCGAACCTCGCATCTCGTTCGCTTCACTCCTCGCTTCTCGTTCCAAGGCACGGTCGTCACCCAGCTCGACCCAATCGGCCACCGGGTCTTGTGCTAAAGGAGTTGGCACTTCAGGACGACCCTTGAAGATACTGCGCGCGTAACCCGCGTTCGGCACCGCGGGGGACAAGGACGGGCGTGTTTTCGGTAGGTGGAGGTAGGTGGTGGACGTGAGGCCAAAAAGGGCTGGCACTCTCTCTCTCTCTCTCACACACGACATTCTCTCGATAAAGGATGTGTTGGAGATCCAAAGGCTTTGCAACACCTAGAACTCTCAAAGCAACAGAATCAAGATCAATGGATCGGGCTTGTTTATCACACTTTGCTTCAGGTCAGGTCTTGTCCGGCTCACTCGGAAAACCGGTTCCATCACAGGACCGCGGCGAACGCATAGACGCGTAGACGCTAGTCCTTCGGCGGCGGTTGTTGGGATTGGGATCGTTGAAGCTCTTGTCCATGAAGAAAGCATCTGCTTTCTCACCTTGACCAAAACGACATCGAAAAGAGGGGGGCATCTCTCACTAATGCAAAGACCGACCAATTAACATGTAAGTTCTAAACCGTACCATCGCAGGCATGTGTAAATCGACGTGAGCTAGCCTCATTGCTTAGGAACCAAATCATTGTGCCTGCAGTAGTCAATCTTCTTTAACTTACTAGCGATGGCCTCCAACAAAAATCCATAGCTGGCTCATGTCGCCCTCCAGCCTGAAAGTTCTGCATCCTGCTCCTTGGGGTGTGCCAGGGAGCCGTATCGAAAGTCTCCAGTAGTGATGTTGTAGCGGATGCGGAGCACTGTGCGGCCTCGAAAAGGGACCTCATAAAGCGGAATCGAATCAGCTGAATTCGCTTTCTGCGGCGGAAACAAGAAAACGGTCAACGCGCAAGGCTTCCATTGTAGAAGCTCTTTACGCAATCATCCAGCCTTTCAGGTAGTAGGGGATCCTCCACAAATAATAGTGTGGCTGACCTTACCCGGCTCGGAGTTCCAGCAGAGCTCGGTGAAAACAACATATATATGTCATGTGGGAATAGAAGGCAGAAGGTGTGCAAAGTAAAACAAACATCAACTGATACACACAATACCCAACCACCGTTCTCCAGCCTTTGCAATGCTCCTCCTATTTTCCCCCACAGTTGCTGGTCACGACAACTCCAGTGCCAGGTCGCCGTTGCGCACGTTGCCGTTGTGATTGTCGCGGCTCTGAATGCCGCCAGTGCACTCGGGAGGTGGCTCATTGAAGGGCGGCACCTCCCTCCACCTGGGCGCTCTGGGACCGTACCCACCGGTGAGCGGAGGCCGAGGATACGGAGACCTGAATCGAAGGGAAGGGTCCACGGTTTCAAGGGAAATCGGCCGTTCTTTTTCCTCAGAAATGGCGAAAGCCCTCACCAAGTGTGTTTCTTGTTGTAACATGCTGAAATGGCTTCCAGGGAACTCTCCGCCATTCGCGGCACAAGCATCTGGATTGTTGTGCGCAGCGATGGAGCAAATTCCTTTGGCCTGAGAACGATCAGATCTCAAAGCAGTGAGGCATCAGTTTGAAGAGTCGGTGCTCAAAACAAATGACCCAACTAGTGACTGGACTCACCTGTGTTTTCCAGCAATATGCAGGGATTGCAGGCACCCCTTTTTGGAGACAAACACTTATCAAGATGATGCATCTTCCTCGTTTCATGTGGCACCGTCCATCAAACCTATGCCTTGGGATACAAACACAGCCACGACGGCCAAGCGGCCTTGACGTTCTGCGATTCCGCCTGATAGTAACCGCATCGAATCTCCGGCTCGTCCGTCAAAATGGCAATATCATGCCACACGGATGGATGCCAGTATGGATAGTAATCTCTCTCCTGGTGCAACCGTCGCAAGAACCATCAATCTAAAACAGTCTAAAAACTAAAAACTACAGTATTTGTTGGGACATCTGAGTCACTGAGGGCCTGCCGGGCCTGAGGTTGTCCATGTTGGAAGATCTATTGGTTTACAACCAACCTCTTTCCTCCATACAGGTTATTTCACCCACCTCTCCCCTGCTGACAGCCCTGACACCTCTCAGGGTGGTCGTTTGAGGGTGGTCAACAGCGGCTCTGCCCTGGCGGACACTCCTCGGGACACTCAAGGCCATGGCGCTGCCCACGGCGACGACCATTGCCATTGGGGTTTTGTCGCGTGGACGTGGCATCTGTGCTTTGCAGGCGCCTCGGGGCGACGTTCGAGACGAGCGTCGAACATCAAGCAGGTTGGGGATGTGGTCGAGCGGGTTGGAACGCTTGGAAGCTGGCACCACAAAGAGCATTCATTGAATTCCTCAGGCACCACAAAGAGCCCCAGTTAGGCAGGAATTCCTTCCCTCCGGTAGACCATGGAAAAAGTGCTGCCAAAAAACATGATCTTGTTAAATTCCGCTAATTAGCCCTCGTTGGTCAATAGCAAAGCATTTATCATCTCAAAAAGTATCGCTGGTGAACACTCTGTCCTGCAACAGCGCCCCATTTGTTACCAGGCAGGCCAGTACACTCTAGAAAACTAACCTGGAAGCTGATAACCACTGGGTTGTAGAGGAAAATAGTCTTGCAAAGGTCCATCTTCAGGTTCCATGTTAATCTTCCCGGGTGTAGCTGACACGTCGAAAAGGCACACGAGACAAACTTCTTTTCGACTGCAAACGGCGCTTCACGATCGACCTTCGAACCTTCGCAACGCGGCACTGATCGGCCGTGTAGAGGCCCTGATTTCGCTCCCGTGAAGCACACGCCTCCGGAGAAGAGGGAGGGAAAGGGGTACGTTAAACGACGATCTTCACCCTCCCTTTAAACTCTGTGTGGCTTATTGGGGCTTCGGAAAAATGACCAGTATCTCGCGTTTCGCCACCATGGCAGTGAAAAACCAAGGAGCACAGAGGCAAAGCAACATCACACAAAGCTGTACGAGTATAAGTCAAACAGTGCTGGTCCTGTGCAGTCATCTTTCAACACAATACACCAACAATGGTGTCATGAGTCATGAGTGTCTGAGGAACAAATGCACCCTCCCATCCCAAGCAAAAAGGATGGTGAAACAGACTCTGCCAGAGACTTGCTTCAACACGAAAATGTATGGATTCCCAGTGTATACATGTGTGATAGTCTGGGACGGACGTGCAAACTGCATGGTAGAAGGATATGGAAGGACAGTAAATATATATAATATATATATATATAATATATATATAATATATATAATATATATATATAATATAATATATATATATATTATTGTTTTTACTATTGGTAGTAGTAGTATCATTATTGCTATTGATAAATATATATATATCTATGCAGTATATACATATTATATATGTGTACCCTGTATAGTGTTGAAACATATCGATATTTGCTGTTATTGTTTCCCTTCAAGCTGAAGACCAGCAACTTCGCCTGATAGAAATCCAAGGGCTCATGATAGCCACGACCGGGCTCAGCAGTGGCATCTTCGGTGGGGTCGTTTTGATCATCTCCACCAGCGGTTATTTGATCTGCGGACAAACGGCGACAATAACACATCTCTGATCTGTGTAGCTACTTACGTCAACTAAAGTTACTCCCGCATGCCCCAAAGTGAACTTGCATGCATGCTGCAATCACTGCAATCTGTTCTTGCGCACTGTGATCTGTACTGCGAGATGGAAAAAAGATGGCAACAAACATAGGCAACAACAAACTTAGATGAAACGCATTGAACTCGTCAACAGCGATATAAAGAAAAAAGATCAAAGCTTCCTGCTCCGCTGCTAGCGGGGCCCGGGCCCGCTGCTTGGTTGCGCCTGTGCCATCACGCAGATTGACATTGTCACTTTCGCCTTGGCCACCGAGCCATGGAGCGGCTTGGCTTGGCGGCACATGCTGAGTTGAAGGCTCATGTACTGAAGGATGATTTGGCAACGAACGTTTGGATGCCCAACTCCGCATCCATGCCTCAGGATATTCTCTAGTCTCACGTGAAAATCACATGAAATCACATGAACATCAGGGCGAAGCCGAGAAAGTTGTGGATACACCTGACAGCTTGTGTTCATCCTTCCAGGCTGCTGATGATGCCATTCGATGTAAAGCTCCGATCCTGCGTCGCACGCGTGCGGTAAGGACCGTTTCTTCGGTGGCCGCCGTCACAGAGAGGACTCCACCGTGAGTGTGGCAGACAGTCTGCTAGAGGCACCTTGGTAGAACTTCATGGTGCCCTTTGTAGCGCCTTCCTTGGTGACATCGTAAGCATTGCCATCCTGGAGGGAACGTGAGGGAACATCAGCAGCGACTCAAGCACCAGGCGGCGGGGCCCAGTCTAATTTTTTTGCCTTCGAACACCAGTTAGTCTCCGAGGACAGATCTCGAATCATGATACATGACATGATATGGTTGTCAGTCCCATCCCTACCAAAAAACGACCCACATTTCAGTCGGCGGAGTCGATCCGAAATTCCTTCCCACGTCCTTGCAGGTTGGCTTGCAGTCATCTCCGATTTGATACCCTGAAGCTGCATTGTTCTGCGAATCGAACAAGCCTCGATGCGCTGCCGAAGAAATACCGATCCGGATAGATGCATCAGGACCGGAAAATCTGGAGAGGTGCATTGGAAGATGGATCCCTCAAAGTTGAAGTTCTGCAGGCCAGTCAGTGGTTGGGGTCCAAGAAGTGTCTATCAAATCTCTGAAGGCACGACATCACTCCCCGAGAGTCGTTTGTTACCATTGATGGAAGAAAAACAACTACACTCAGCCGTGGAAGTCACGGCATACTAGGAAAAATTTGTGCTCCCCAATGCAAACGCGACGTCAAGAGGGGGCTCCCGGCATAGTCCTTGCAAAAACGTTGTTTCCGCATGTAAACGCGATGATTTGTGAATGTTTTTGGTGTGCCTTCCCGAACACAGTTCTCATGTGTTCAAAGCAACGTTCCTGCACGTAAACGCAATCATTTAGAAATGTCATTTTGCCAAGCCGTGCAAAAACGAGGTTGCCGCACGTAAACGCGATGATTTGGCAAGGTTTTTGATGTGTTCTGAAGTTCCATCTGAAGCACAATTCTCATGCATTCACAACAAGCTTCTGGCACGGAAACGCAATGATTTAGCAATGATGCTAGTCTGCTTGTGGTCCCTTGACATCTCTTTGCAGAGAGGTATCGGAACGAGGATGAACGAGAGGGTGAACGAGTGCCCCTAGGATATGAAAATCTCTAGGTAACCTCATCATGTATATGCTCTCGCCCCTGTCCTTCTTTCTTTCTTTCTTTCCCTCCTTCTTTCTTGTCTCCCCGCTTGTCTGCTGTGATCGGCGTTTTGTCTGCCGCTGCTGCCTTGCCTCCTTACTTGTTTCCCCACCTGCCTCCCCACTCGTTTGCCTGTGCGATCGGCGTTTTGCTTGATCGTCGTGTTGTTTGCCGCTGCTGCTTGTCTTCTCCCCAACTAAACGCAAATCGCCATGACTTCCATAGATTCAAATCCCCAAGTGAACGCTTTGAGAGTATGTATCTTACGCTGTCCAAAATGCCGAGACAAGGCACGATTGGCATTTTGCACGTTGTTGCTCTGCTCACGCAGCTTGTTGTTGGAGCCACGCGGATCTCAGGGGGAACAGATCTCAGATCGCACTGAAAAATGAGAAGTTGATCATTGAATGAAGGAAAACTACACCCAATGTGTCACCTTTCGACCTTCGTGTCACATCCTCAGGAGCCCCGTTCGTAGCGTCCTGGTTCCTAGTGGCGATGCCAGGAGCCCCTAGTAGCTTCTTGTTCCTAGTAGCGCCTTTGCCGCTCTGCAACTGCATTTATATAAGTAAGACCTACAGGGTGCCTAACAAGTCTTGAAAAGCACAGTGCTGTGGAATGTTTTTCAACACATCAAGTCCAGGAGAATTCCACATGTCACTTGATTTCTCTCTGGGCTCTCCCAACTGTTGAGGTACATGTCGGCTCTTGTTAAGGCCAGCATTGCCAGAAGCAGGATTTGTCGACAGTCCTCAGGCACCACAAGGGCGTGAAAAACAGCAAGCCACGCGGAAGAAGCTGGGACCTAGCCGGTGATCCTCCCGTTCTTGCCCTGCTTTACGTTCTCATTTGGTTGACGTGTTTGACTCATTCATTTGGTTGGAGCTGCAGCTCGATTCTCTCGACTGATCACACAATTCTCTCATACCAGGAGGAGTCAAGGACCTCGCCTCAAAGTGGATTGGACAAGAACCAAGAGAAGAAAACACCAGCAATGCTGCAAAGTGTCAGCCATGGCTGCAAAAAGTGTCCAAAGCTGAAAGTCCAAAGATGTTGTGCCAGTTCAGGGACAAAAAAAAACACTAAAGCTGGCGGTCTTGGAATCAAACCTCCACCTCCTATGACCCAGACACGTTCATAACCATGTCACCCATGTCTGTGTCTGTGTGTCTGCTGTGTCCATGTGTGCCAGTGAGGATGTCCCTTGTCAAAGAGACGTCAGCAAGGTCAGGAAGGTCCGGCAGTCTCACATGAAAGGCTGACGTTAATACATTCTATGGTAGTTCTTGATACATCACATATCATCATGTATCTGTGTTTTTGAGGATATGCAACAGGTGGCCGGGGTCGCCTGACCAGAAAAAGGCGGCGGTACCATATGGAGCAGTCTCCTTCTGTTTTGTTTGTTGCTCCAAGTCTTCAGAAAGGCTTGAGAATGAACAAAAAACATCGTCTCAATGATCCCAATTGAACTGGCGATGTGATTTAGTGTCAGGAAAAGTTTGGCCAAAGAGCTCTGTCTTTCATAAACCATCGGGACTTGTGACCGATAGTGTTTGCGGCAAACTGCTAGAGCTTACTTTAAATAAGCTCCAGTCGTGTTCAGAAAGCTTGGGACGCTCCCAGGATGCAGCTTGGGAGCGAAGGGAACGTCCGGCGGTGCAGTTTACCGCGCCCATGGGGCCTCTGGTGATTCCAGATGCGAAGGTCCCTTGGCACAAAGCCATTTCCGAGATGTACCATGACTGAAAGTAAATTCCAAGTTGAACTGATTATTCTATCTAAAGCCTCCTCTTGACTCGAAAATGCCTCTTGTGGAGTGCAGGAGTGCAGTTCTGCCATGAGTCCTTGCGGCCAACCTCGCGTTGTTTTCGTGAAGTCGGTCACTCTCCAGCCGGCAGTGGCGCGTCAGTTTTACCGAGGAGCCACGGCCAGCCGACCCGATCGCCAGAGCTGCACATTACAATCCCAGTGGGTTCGATCGCAAAGGCGATCGAAGTCAAAAAGGCCCACATCTTCACCCCTTTGCGCTCACACCAGTCAGTGATCAATGTCATCAACGACCCAACCTAGGTTGCCCTGAGTTGCACCTGGAACTGGACACGAAGGTTGAAAGAAGGGACATCTGGACAGTCCCGAATGGGCGCCAGGAGTGCTAGGCACTTTCCAGGGAAGACCTGGAGGGGAATCCTGCACCCCTCTTCGGCTGTTGAATCATGCAGAAATGCAGGAAGATTCTCTAACCCAAACTCCCTAGATGCATCAACAGCTCGAAGACTGTCTGTACATAACATATATACATACAGGCACAAAATCGTCAAAACCTGTCGACTGCAGGCGGCTGATGTGGTTGTCGCGTAACTTCACTGAAAACCGCCTGAGCGCAACGTGTAGCCGTTTGGTCTCATTGGTCACAGGAAACGGAGCGCAATTGTCAGGCCTCACAGTTTTTGCACAATGTGTAGCCGTGGCCGAGGAGCGCCGGATCAGAAATGCTCCTGTCCGAGAATGGATGGTACATGGGATCGCGGATGACTTTCGAGTTTTGGAATGCTCCGGCTGGACTCCTACAGCGTACCAAGTGCCTAGGGCTCCAACCACCTCCTGAGAAAGTGGTTGGGGTGGGTTTGGGGGGTCTAACCACCTTCTGAGGATATGGTTGGAGCCCTAGGGAGTATACCCACAACCCTTGGATGTACCAGCTGTCCACTTCGATGCATCTGCGACCAGACCGCTGACCAGAGCAATGTCGCCATGAAGCCACAATCTCGGTCTCCTTGAAAAAGGAGAAGCGCGTACCCCCGGGGGTGCCAATCAGATCCTCGATGCTTCATCAAAACAACATGAAGCAGAGACTTTTGAAAAACAAGCGAAGCCACTGTCCATTTCTGAGGAGGCAATGAGTCGAATTACAATACCTGGGTTTCCGTGGAATCTGTGACTTGAAATTGGAGCCCCTGCCATTGCCCAAGGCATTTGCCGTTGGAGCTGAAGCTTTGCACTCTGCAGAAATCCGGAACAGAGGCACTGGATTTCCAAAATTGGAGACTGACTGGTGCATCCCTCCAAAACTGCGGATCGACAAAGGGAAACCTGGGCACCCAGAAATGACATGGTGGACATCCAACATCACTCGCACAAGTCCTGTTCGATCACCTTCCCGAAATTGCACAATCTCATTAAACAAACTCATGGTTGGACAGTGCAACACACCAGTTTACCTGCTGGGGGTCATCTTCAGCTTCGTTGCTGTGGGTCAAAACCAGGCTGGTAACACAACTTGCGGACAATCTCCACGTGCTACTCCCAACATCCCTTGCTATACCGTGGTACCGGGTATGAGGAGTGTGAAAAGACGGTGTGTGAAAGTATCAGAACACAGAACAAACTGTCTGTACCAACCATTGAATTAAGTGGATAGCCGGTTTCCCAGGAGTTAAATCTCACGAGCGACACAGCTAAAGACAAGGACAGGATCGAAATTACAATGTTATGCATGCACTGGACAATCAATGACTTATCTAATTGGCATATGGATCGGCAATTGAATTATATATATGGTTTCTTTTTTCTTTTGGCATCCCATACCTTCTCTTTAAGCTTATACCGTTGTTCATAGTAAACTTCGGGATAGGAAGGAATCTGCACTCCACATTTGTAGTGGTATTGGCAAATGGCGCGTCTGTATTAAATGGTGGGTTCTGATTAGATTCAGCTTGGTAGTTAATGATTGCCTGGAGCTTTTAGCGAGAATTCGGCAGTACTGGTCGATAGGGCATGCCACCACAAATTTGCCTCTTAAATCCGAGTCGTTCCAAACTTTTAGCATCCTGTAGTTTGTACTTTGGAATGAGATCGATTTGTGCGAATGATTCAATATGTCGTAAGATTAGGCGAAAGGTCTCTGCTTGTAGTTTTAGTGATCTTTTATGGGCCGGTAGAACTGTGACTCTGGTATCCGTTGGATCGAGTGCTTCCACATTCCATCGTGTATGTTGGATTGGGACTGGTAGTGATATACCCGTTGTGATCATGTGACTCCTGGGTCATTACTTGAACGTGATCACATGGCGGCCAAACTATTGAGAGAAAGCCCAGACTGCGGCTGCGAAAAACGATGTCCCCAAATACAGGATGTAAGGACGATTGGGTGAACAGTACCCTGAATGCGAACAGTACCCTGAATGCTAGGATTCCAGTTGGACATGGCGTTGACAAGCGACCATACGACGGTGGTGAGCTTCTTGAAAGTGTAGATTGAGATTGATGTTGAGTCTGACGAACTGAGGCATAAGTGGTCTTGTTGAGGTCAATAAGATAGTACCAAATGGACAATGTGCTAGATTGTTCATGATGTATTGCTTTATCCGCCAGTGCAATGAGATATCTTGCAATCGACACGAAACCGCTGCTTTATCTGCTAGATTGTTGCCTTGAATCTCCAAGGGTTCTTGGTAATTTCTAGCGTCTTCAAGGTTTCTATGTGATTTGACCTTATGGATAACGAACTTTCCTGGCTGCCATGCTTGAATTATCTTATTCGGCAAGTCTGAGTGGGCATGTGTCTGATCTGCGAAATTTAAGGTGCCTAGTTCTATGCTAACCACGGCGTCGAAAACGTACCGGCTGTCTGTATAGATGTGCAATTTGGTATGAGGATTTCTTCCAGCACAATTATAATCCAGACTACCGCCCATAGTTCAGTTCTAGATATGGTCTGGATTCCTTGCGTATGTGCGGTCGCTGCTACTTGGAATGAATGATGATTACTATCGCTCCCATAGGGTGCATTGAATAGGACAACCGCCCGTTCGGCAGAACGGCGTGTGTGTACTCGGGTTGGATCCGAACAGGAGCCATCTGTGAAGACATGTAGTTCGTCTAGTGGGGCTAGCGGTAACGTTCCTCTTAGCAGCATCCCAGCTTGAATTGGTTCAATATCTTTGTAGTGTTGTGGTAGAGGAAAATGATGGAAAATGATGTTGTTTGATATCTTGTGCCAGTGTTCGGACTGCTTGTTCATGTCTTGCACGAACTGTCTCGAACATAGGGCAGTGTAATTGTCATGTTCACGAGTAATCGGGTGATTGGCAGAATGGGCATGTAGTATCTGTACGGGGTGACCATTTTTGTATCTGCGTCAGTGGTTGGTAACCAGCTGTGATGTCCATTTGGATCCATCTTCTGTCATTGATTGGGATCTTTTTCCACATAGAGTTTGTCACCGTGCTATCAAAAGGTGTATCCCCCACCCCTTTGCGATGTTGAATCCAAGTGTGAACAACCCAGTCCCAAGCTTCGATGACCTTTGTTTTAATCTCTTTTGTGGAATCCTGTTGGAGATTGATATAGAGGCTTCCTGGTCCTGTGATTTTGCCATCTCAGTGAAGAAGCCACTGAATTTCATGCAGGTTTGACATTAATGCCCCTGCAGGCCCTTGTGCTCGAGTTTGGTAATCGAATGCTAGTTGAATGAGTTGTTGCGCCTTAGCTGGTTCATGTGCGAGCAATCTATGTATGGCCGCAAGACTCTGCAGAATAACGTACAACATGAACAGAATCCGGGTACCCTGGTTGACCATCGAACATGAACAGAATAGACTTCCAGGGAGCCATCTAGGCCCAAAGCCGAGTGGCTGAAGGTGTAGGGCCACCTAGGGGTGCTGGCCACCCTCGAAAGGTGGGTGCATCGTCCATCAAGCAGGACCGCCGACGGACTTGCAGCCCTGTCCTTGTGGAGTGTGCCGTGGTTCTGACTTTGTTGTGGTCTGGTGGCATCATGGGCTCACGATTGATAGAGATGATTAGATCTAAGATTGACGATCCCTGGAAGCATAGCCTTGAGGAGCTTTTCATTTCCTTTGGTAGTGCTGGCCCCTTTGTTCGCATTGCTGGGAAAGTGCTTTTTCAGGGAGAAGTGCGTGACGTTTCAGGATCATCGTTGTGGGTGCGGCCCAGAAGCTTTTCCCCAGGGAAGGGTTTGGGTTTCTCAGGAGAGGGAACTTGGGAGATTGCTGTGCCGGATTTGAACTCTCGAGACTGGCATTTTCAACAAGGGGATGTTGTGACTTTCTTTGGAGGTTTAGTTCAGACTTACCCCAACCGATTCGACATGACGAAAGACACGATCATTGCGAATGTTCCAGTTTGGGAGCCGCGGAGTCCGATCTCAGCGATCCACATGTTTTCTGGATCTTTCTGCGGGTGGTCACAAGCGCTTGAGGCGATCTGTAGATTTGAGCCTTTTCACCATGTCGCTCAGCAATTCTATGTTGACAGTGATCCCCGTACCATGCAGAATTGGGCCAACCAGTTTGAGAAGCCAGTGCATTTCGGATCGACTGCACCTGAGCACCCCTGGCGCCCCAGCTCACATGTAGGACTATGTGCTCCAGTGAATGACTGCACGTTGTGTCATCAGATTCGAGTCCGCTCCAATCTTGTCGGAACAGCGTCTCCCCCATGTGTGACATGGAGTAAGGGAGGTAAGGCTCAAGGTCTCAATTCCCCAGCGGGGTACTCGTTCATCGAAGCTGTGGTCCTTACTGTTATCCTGCAGCCCAATCTCCAAGTCTATGAATGCGCAGACGAGATCGTGAAGCACCCACACTTTGGACTAGTCTCCCACTTGCTGAAACTTTGTGGTTTTCGTAGGATCTGGCAACAGGTTGTTGAATATCATCCGATGTCCCACAACATGAGGAGTCGATGGGTGTCTGCATGGGCTCGACTTGACATGAACCCTGCATCTATTGTAGAACAATTCCAATTGAAAGCCTTGCAAGTGTGCCAATGGTCATCCAGTCTTTATGACTTTCCCCTCCCTCAGGATGTTCGAGAAAGCTTGCTTCTTTCCGAAGAGCTGCAACGATTGTATGGCAATCGTGGTTTGCTTCCGCCAGCCAAGAAGGCCAGGGTAGCGTCAGATGCTGTGATCGACTCGGTTTTGAGGGAACGTGTTGTCAATCCGATGGACCCACTCCCCACCATTTGTGCTTCATACGGCCATCAACATGAGCTTGCCTCACACCATGTCGCTCAAAGAGGCCTTTTTGCGTTCTTTTCTTCAGGGCCTGATGGATTCCAATGGATTGAACCTACTCGTATTGTTGCTTTGTTGGGGGGCCAAACCAGGGTCTCAGTCGAGTATCAGCCGATTGATGCATACCATGTCCTTGGTAATGCCATTGCAGTTCCTCAAGCTGCTCTCGCCATTTTGGTAGGATTGCAGGCTATCCATGTTGAGACTATCACACAATGCTCTTGTGCAGATTGAGGGAAATTTTTTGACAATTTCCAAGGTTGCCTTTGCTTTTGAACGCATTCCTTTTCGGTGCCCCATGGGAGAGTCGCCTGCCATGAAGTGTGTGATCACCAATTGTCAGGGCGCACATGGCATTGAGGGTTCTTGTGACCCCGCATGGTCTGTTCATGACCTGCTTCGATCCTGCATTGAGCTTGACCAGTATGCCTTGACGCAGGTCACCCTGAGGCATGGCATGATTGTCGCCTCTAGGGTTGAACAGATCTCTGACTTGGTCATCATCTCGAAAGAGTGGGAAGTCTATGCAGCTTCAGTCAAGGTTGCACATATTAGCTTCGATGAGGGTGAGAAACCTGATGTCTCAGACATCTCAGACATCTCACCGACACAGCTGTACGTGCCCTCCGCAGTGATTGAAACTATTGAGATCCCTACCACGGCTGGAGACATGATCACACAATCCGAGGCCTTTGTTCGAGTTCACCGCTTGCACTAGGTGCACACATTTTCGATGGAGAAGGCCCTTCTGATCCGGTGGTTTTGGTTTGGACGGAACC